GCCAATTGTGGGCCAAAATTGGGCCCGACATGATCCCAATGCTTGGTCAATTATTGTTTGCCATTATTGGCCCGGCGTTATCATCCAAACGTTGGACCAATGATCGACCATTCAATTTACCAAAAGCCGGCCAGTACTGGCTATTGGCATACCAGGCTTGGACCAAGGCTCGCCCAATACCGAAACCCTACTTGGGTGGGATCACCAGTAAACGCTACGCAGAGTACTTATAACCGATTCGAGAATTAAGTACGACATAATCGCGAGGAGCCAGTAATTTTCAACGTTCCTCTAATGTCGTGTGGGAGTAAATAAATGAAATAGGACAAGCGTAGCATCACTAATTTTATTTGATATCTGTCGAGAACTCAGACCGGACTGGGCTCAAGTTCAATCTGGCGTGGACAGCCAGTTTGTCTGTGCAGACATTTGTTCATACGTTTTACAATTCTTCCATCTAACATCAATTACATCTTTTTTAATGGTTATACGAGGGTTTCAGAATGGCAGACATTTTCGGTATAAATTTAGAATAATGATTCACGATAACAATAAAAGCATCTTGTAGATTAGTAGGGTGTCAGAAAAATACGTCTTCTGCAATAATTGGAACTAGGGGTGTACCCCATTTACTATTCTTTTTCAATTTAATCACTCCTTTCTTTCTAATTTATTTAATCTCTCTTCAATTTGCTTCTTTAGAGCAAAAGGTACCGGTCTTGATTTAATAAAAATAGGCTTTATGGACTTTCGTCTAAAGGTTTCGCATTTGTGCCATCTAACACCAATTACAGATATCACAGTTCCGTGTTGAAGCTAGGAGAATGCTGATGAGTCGATTTTTTCTTTGAAGAGAATCATCAAATATAGTTAAGGAACTGACAAATCGTTCGCCAATTATGAAAGCGAATAAGCAGATGAGTGGCGAGATCGTAATGCTTCCCAGGACATTCAATAAAAAATTACTAGATTTTTTAACAAGAAATCTTTAATATTTCTGTCAAGTTTTCCCCAATTACAGAATTAGGGAAGAATATTTACTCATAAATAGTTCTAATTAATAATACTCATAACATAAGTTCAATCTCTAATATGTAAAAAAACTGATTGATTGACATTGATTTTCTGTGGAAGATAAAAAAAAATCAAACAACAGTTTAGAAAGTTGATGATTTTTCCCTATTCGCGCCTGATATTGTGTATTCTGAAAGATCCTGAATTAGAGGGGCTGACAATTGAAGAAACAGTCTTTTTGACACAGTTCGTTTCAAGAAAATTTTCCTTATTCTTTGAATGAAAACGTGACCCTGTGGTGTTAAGATTAAGTTTAGTATCTAATACAACTCGAAAATAATACAAACCCTCGCCTCTATCGATCGTAGCACCGGTGTAGCAGGTGTGTTGGACTATATAGTGCTATAGCAATACTCAAGTCATCGTGTTAGTCACAAACCAACATTCGTCTGAAATCAGTTTATCGCTTCAAGTGTTTCCACCAAAACTGTCAAATTGTTTCTCAAATGAGTGAAAATTAAATTAAATCATGGAAAACTATACGGTCACTGGTCGCATTGGAGAAGGTGCGCATGGATTGGTAGTGAAAGCCATTAAGAATGAGACGGGAAACGAAGTTGCGTTGAAAAAAGTATTGCTGAAGAGAATCAATGATGGTTTACCTGTTTCTATAATTCGAGAGGTTAAGACACTTCAAGAAATGAATCATCCTTTTGTAAGTAGTTATCCTAGTGGTACAATATTTCCTCTGTTGTTTGCATATGAAAGAGTTGAAATAAAAATTTCATTTTTTGGCATTTGACTTGAAAAGAATACAAGAATGGTCTAAAATTGAATGTAAAAATACCAAATCCTACCATAAGTTTTACCGCGGTTACACTTCAGGAAATCCAAGTACTTTAGCGATATATATACGAACAAACTCCTTTCACAGTTTTCAGAATACATCAAAAGCTTTGCTTTACACAGGAAAAACACCTTGGTCTCCGAATATATTTTGGTGTTTTTTTTTTTAATTGAAATTTAGCACATGATGTCTATAAGAGCTGCATGTCTCACCCTTTTAATCAAAGAGTTTTTGAAAATGCTACTCCCAAGCCAGTTCGGCTTACCGGTTTTTCGGTTCCTTGGTTTTTCTTGAGATTGTATTTTTAAAGTCGGTTGCCCAGATTGCTCGGAAACTACGTAATCGATTTTGATGAAATTTCGCCTACATCTTCAAGGTACTTTTATTAATTTCTTCAACGGAGGATCTTTTTCTATTGCAATGATCTTTTCAAATGTAGATTGTTGTGAAAATTTCTCCGAAATTTGTAATTTTCCATAAAAAGGCGCGCCAATAATGAAATCATTTCTTTCGTTTTTCTTCGTCCAAATATTAGTTTAAGGTGTCAACTAAAAGCCGCAAGTTTTTCAAAAATTAAGATGATCTTATCATGAGTACTTTGGCCGACACGAGAGTACCTTCTTTCGAAGGGGTCACCGGAAATGACGTCTTAATAGTTGAATTTTTCGAATTTTCCAACGAAAATTCCAGAGAACCTTGCTCAAATATGTATTTTTTTCATAAGGAGAAATTTGAATTGAATATTATATTTTTCCAGGGTTTATAGTTATCTATTTAAACATCATCCGCAAATTTTTTGGCCACGAAATCTTTTATATTTTGCCTTTGGGAAGCAATTGCTTGATGCATCTCGCATGTACACTTGCCGGATGGCGGGCAGGATGCAGGTCGCAATTTCTATCTGAAACAAAAAATTCATAGAGATTCATATTTGTTAATAACTTCCATTTAAACTAAGAAAATTCCAAAATAGTGTAAAATTCTCAATTTTTTTCAAACTGAAAAAAGAGTGGTTTTTGGCCGAAAACCTTTTACTTTACGTTGTTCGAAAATATGTTCAAAATTAACTTTTCTTGTTTTTTTTAGTTTAAATAGAAGATAATTCAATTATTTTTTTTTCTATCCTGCTCGCCAATTAAGGAAAATCGTGAAAATGAAAAACCGAGAAATCGTTCGTCAAAGTTTTCGCTTGTAAAAAATATCGATTTTCTGTAACTTACAGTATTGATATGTTAAGGGGTTATAGGCCACTCTAGAGAGCCACAAAATAGGCCTTTTTTGAGATTTTTTTTCAGGAAAACCATTAAATAAATCCGGTTTTTAACAAAAGGGATTCATTATACATATAATTAACTGCTTATAATTATTTTTGAAAAAAAATTAATTGAAAAATCGCGCCTACACAGCGTTCTCCCTAGGATGTCTCCGTTTTTTCGGGAACCACGGCAGGACCCACAGCTCCTGTAATTTTTTTATTTTAATAAGTTGTTTAACGGTTTTCGCTTGTAAATAGCATTAGCTACAGAAGTACGTAGGATTTTTTCGATATACGCATTTTTGACAAAATGGCGGGCCTTTAAATGGACAAGTAACAATTCGGCCTAAAAAATGTTCGAAATTTGGTAATACAAAACAAACTATGCAAGATAAAAAAAAATCCTACGTACTTCTGTAGATACTGTATTTCTGAAGATTTTGTCAAAATTTCAAGTGAATCGGTTGTAAATTGTTTGAGTTATGTTTCCGGCCAACTTGAAAAAAACAGTTTTGAGATAAACGCGTTTAAAGTTTTGAGTGGGAGAAAATCATGGATAATTTTGATATACCTTCAATCTGCTATGCCTGCACCATATAATTGGCCTTCCAAATTAGTGTTCTGCTCTTGCATTTCTTTTTTATTGGATTTTGAAGCCATCCTTGCCTCTTTAACGACTTCGGACAGCGATCTCTCTGCAAGTATTATGCGCGAATCATCGATGTCCAGGCAGGTCTGGTAGCTGTTTGGGCTCAGTTTTTTCACAATTATCACAGGACACTACTAATTTAAATCCCAAACCGCGCTTGCCACTTTCCGAGAATTTTACTTGTGATTTGCATACTTTACAAACCACAACTTCTGAAATAGCCGAAAAAACGGCACAATTCCGTTTACTTTGGCGCCACAGTCTGATGGTGGTTTCCCGTAGTATTTTGTCTCGCGAGTTCGAGAGAAATAATGAAAAAATTCCCTCTACACTGTATTTCGAGATATAGAGGAAAAAAGGAGCAAAATGGACCTCTTTTTTTTTGAAAAATATGGTTTATATTTTATATATCACTAAATAAATCTAAATCTATAATATCATATTATATGAAAATTTCTAGCCTTTTTTTTAACCTTTACACCATCTAGCGGATTTTTCACGAATTATATAAATTCGAATGAAATCTTGCCGCCATTGTTTTTCTTGATTCTCCTTTGTTTTTCAAAGCGTGTTAATCAGGCAGCGAAGCAAATTAGAGTTTTTGTGTGATTTTCAAGTGAATTGAAAGTGTTAAAATGTCTAACACATCCTCTCATCCTCAATTGCATCCAAAGCTTACTCATTTTTCTATATTTACCTCATTTGGAGGGCTTGTTCAAACAAACAGACTTTACCTCCACGTGGTGCATTCTGGGTAACGCCAAAACAGTCTGAAGATAAAGCCAAAAACTAGCCAAGTTCCCCCCTCACTTTCCTTTTTTTTTGTGTTAATAAGCATGCTGTTTTCAAGGCATAAAAAAAGCGAGGTCCAGGGGCGGAGCCCCCCCAGTCAAGAATAAAAATTGGCTTTATCATTAAAGATAATAATTTGGGAAAAAATCACAGAAGTAATTAACTATGTAATTAAACAAAAACAACAACAAATAGTTCATTTTTAGCAAAAAAATAACAAAATTAGAACATGTAAACATTAATATTTATTGCTTCCTCTGTATAATTATAGTTTATACAGCTGAAATGTATAAATAATAATATTTTCACAACTTGAATTTGAAATTAAAAATGAAAATTTCTACTCAAAATTTTCCACATTTTTAAAATTATTTTGGTTATTGACAAGGCTGAATACAGTCGTACCATTAAGCCTATTATGGCTCGGTATTGACTTTCTAAGAACTGTCAATAGTGTCTTGAAAACCGTTGAACCTTTGGGGAATACAATACATACAATTGATCAAGGGGAGGAGCGTGCATGCTCCAGTCTGCTCCAGCACTCATACACGTGCTAGACGCTCGGCCCCTATTTCCGCTCTACCTTCAACAATATTTCGAATTCCCATCTATAACTTTTGCGACATATTCTTAGATAAATTTTAAAGACATTGAAGCAAAAAAACAATCGATTTTTTGAAGGTTCTAAAGTAGGCTCTCCCCTTAAGTGAATGAATAGTAATTTATAGTATACGGCCTGAAAAGTATTTTGTGATGAATTTAATTGCTATGGGATGATTTCACAAAAGCAGCGATGGCCAGAAATTGAGGTCCACACGTCCAGGTATCCAAATGAGAAGTGCTCATTCCTAACGGAACAACGATGCTAAACTAGTAACAGAACTGACCAACACCGTAATTGGTTTGTTACCTCTGCGAGAATTATCTGATTGGTGATTACGCCATGTGGTCAATCAGATTCGCGAATTTCTGCAGTAAGAATCCAACTGACGTTCGAAAATGAGAAAATTTTATTCAGGCCCCATAATTCCTCGGTAAAATCAACGCAATAAATTCGTAATTATTTCCATAGATCTCGCTAGATAAACAACGATTATTTCAAGCCCAAATAGCTCTCTATACTCAATGTCTTAGACATAATTTAAGTCTTTTAATTTTCGAATTCCGGATGCTGTGGTCATCACTCGATCTCTTCGAACGAATTCTCGTGTGCGGCGAGAAATCTAAAATTTTTGCCCTGATATTTCATGCTTCGCCAACAAAGGAAGATTTTCAAGAAGACCGAGAAAAATTTTACGACTCTTAAGAGGAATCCAGAACGAGCGATGAAACGTTTAATCACCTTAGTACTCCGGATCTTAATATTGCGATAGGTTCAATATTTATTAGGGCATGAATTATTGTTACTTGAAGAAACTCGTTATTTCAATTTTACTTATTTTCTATTCTCCAGTATTGACTACAAATACCCAAGAAGAGTAGAAGGAGGACTTCGAGAGTTCGGCTCTGAGTGACAAAAATTTCGCTTTAGCAAACACTTTTGGATATACTCCAGTAGAACTTCAATATCGCTTAAATTTCGCAAAGACATTTTCCCTGTTTTTCCTGCCTCTGTGTAAAATTTGTTCAATAATTTGTCATTTTCTATTGTTTCCACGAAATTTCTCGAATTTTCAACTGTTTGCGTGAAGCCTTTTTTCGGGAAGAACGAAGTAGAGATAGAGTCGTGAAGGACTTTCTCTCCGCTCTAATCAACCAGAGAGGTGATGGCACTGATGAGAAGGAAAAGAGGGGAGTGAGTCGAAGTAGACAATATGGAATTTTTCTTGCATGGTATTTTTATTTATTTTGCAAATTTCCCTTTCAAATAAAATGCGGAAAAGCCTGATTAATTCCCGTAACGAGGGCCACGTTAGACAACGTCACTATCGAGAGGTGCCACACCTTGTCATTGATGATGTCAAATGAATTGATGCGAAAATATCGATTGAAGAAAATTTTTCGAAGCCACATTTCCTCAAAAAATACTCGTTCTATATGTGAGGAAATAATATCGAGAAGTAAAGAACAAGAAGACCCGTAGTTCTCCCGTCGTATATTTTTCCGGAACATATGCACAGGCGATTAATTCATCGATTTGAAAAAGTCAATCCTGTCCACGGCCCTGATGTT